TTAACTTAGATATAGTTCTGAAAACTCAAGTCATTCTTCTAAAAATATGAACCAGTTTTGCCAATGTGTCTGCAACTATGAAAGGAAAATGATTTTTCATTGAGTTACTGAAAAACTTTACGTGGGAACAACTTGAGTATGTAAATCAACATTTCAACCATAAATGTTCATGAAATCTAAATACAGAGCAAGGGTTTTAGATGAAAATTTAGTGTCTGGATTAAGATGTTCCAAAAATGTGAACTTATACCAGAGTTTGAAGACTCAGAAAGAGAACAAAATCTATAAAATATCTCATTAATTGTTTTTATATTAATAACATATCAAACTGATTATTTTGGATTTTTCTGGTTAAACAAAATATATTATTAAAGTAAAATATTAATCTATCACCAAAGAACTGATCACCTTGAGGAAATTAATCAAGTCAAATTTGGAATCAGCAAGGCCAGGTCTCCAAGGACTTCAGTCAGTCTAGCAAGACAGGTTTTCATTTGAAGCTTGTTGTGGCCAACCAGCCCCCTGCCATCGCCTCACCACACTCATTCAGTTCCGGCAGAGAACAGAATTCATTGTTCCATAAAAGCGAGAAGAAATATTCAGGATTTCCCAGGGTTGACTCAATCAACTCATAAGCTACAGTAAGAACTGCTTCAACGAGTATGAAATAATGGATTTAATCTTTAAAATTCTTCCTCTCAGGGGCGCCTGGGTGGCTCAGTCGGTTAAGCGTCCGACTTCGGCTCAGGTCACAATCTCATGATCCGTGGGTTCGAGCCCCGCGTCGGGCTCTGTGCTGACAGCTCAGAGCCTGGAGCCTGCTTCAGATTCTGTGTCTCCCTCTCTCTCTGACCCTCCCCCGTTCATGCTCTGTCTCTGTCTCAAAAATAAAATAAAAACGTTAAAAAAAATTTTTTTAAATAAATAAATAAAATTCTTCCTCTCAAATGTTTTTCGACCAGGAGGTAAAAAGAAAATTTGTCCAATGCCAACCTGTTCTCAATACTGACCTCCTTATAACAGCTAAAAATATCAAGAAAAAGGAACGAAGAGTGTTTATATTTACAAATAAAATAGCTGGAGAAGTCAGAAATACGTTGTTGTGTAATTATTATTCCATCTACCATCTGATAGAAGGAACTATGAAGGAATTAGGAAACCGACATTCCATTTTGGCTTAAAAAAGAGAAACTATGATCATTTGCTGTAACATCAATTCTAAATGCAGTGATTTTTGCTGTAGTGTATAAAATATTTTCAGGCTCAGCTTTTGAAACAATTGTTTAAATAGAAAAAGGTCAACACAAGCTTCTACAATGGACCAAACATTTCATTTAAAAAAAATTTTTTTTTAACGTTTATTTTTGAGACAGAGAGAGACAGAGCACGAATGGGGGAGGGTCAGAGAGAGGGAGACACAGAATCCGAAACAGGCTCCAGGCTCTGAGCTGTCAGCACAGAGCCCGATGCGGGGCTCGAACCCACGGACCGCGAGATCATGACCCGAGCCGAAATCGGCCGCTTAACCGACTGAGCCACCCAGGCGCCCCTGGACCAAACATTT